CATGATTCTCTGTAACAGATCTGTTTGATCCCTTTGGAGGCAAAACTTAAGTGCTACAGCAATGACAAATTTATGATTTTCTGATAGAGTTTTTTAATGTACTTTAAGTTCTGGGATACATATGCAGAAGTTTTTAAATAACAACAGTCTGAATGTCCGGCTTTTTTTCTGACCATTTCTCAAAGATTTCAGACAGATCCTTTTATAAAGAAAAGGCCTGAAGATGTATTCTCTTTTAGCACTTGCTAAAATTTTTTGTTCATAGCTGTTCCTACTGGAAATATTTGAAGAAAGGGTAATTCCTCTATAGATCTTTATTTGATCTACTCAGGTAGCATCTGAGTACAATTGTGAAATATTTTACAGGGTAGCATGTCCCCTTGGGAAAAATCCTAATAATGATTCTAGTAAAACCTTAGTAAATTTTCATGAAAGAGGCCAAAGTAAAGTATTATCCTGAGAACTGAGAATTCAAAACTTTGGGGATTATCTGAAATTTTATACATGAACATCTATCTAGCCACCTAAAAAATAAGTATATTGTTTCATTTGATTACCTCAAAAGCCTAATGAAGTTTGTCGGTTAAAACTTCTTTACAGGTTGAGATTTTTTCAAAAAATTTCTTAATTTTTATTATTATAAACTCTAATTTAAAATATCGGTAAAGTGCAAGTTTCTCAAATGACTAATTCTAGGTTAAAATTTGAAATTATTTGTGACTTTAATTGGCACAGTGCCTACTGGCAATGCCTCCATTTCTTTTAAAATGTAAGATACATTGCTCTTCAAAAATTGTTTTGTACAATGAACACACTATCTGTAGCATCATTAAGAAACAAAAGCCTCGTGGAATAGGTGTCATTATTCTCATTTTGCAATGAGACTCTGAAAACTGAAGAGTTATTCCCGAGGACACACAGCTGATATTTTAACCAAGGTCTTCTGTTTCAAACACAGTCACACATGATATTTAGATGAGACATTATTTATAACCAATATTGGTTTAATGAGAGTACTGAATATGGCTTAAATGAATGTTAGCAAAATTAACAACTTTGACATTGATAACTTTGGTGTGGTTGAAATTAATGTCAATAATAAATAAAGAGAAGCAGAAGGTTAATTTTGAAGGAACCCTGAGATGTTGGAAAGTGATAAAATCTTAGGCATAAACAAAGAACCCTTTTCTGAAGGGCACATCTGTAAGAGGCATGCCAGTTGGTTGATATTCCGAATCATTACCAGGATGATCACATACTCATGGGTGCTTAGATGAGGATCCATTTCTCCCAGCAGGATCGACCATTGCTCAAACACCCCAGATTGTGGTTATCTCTGTCCTTGATGTTCTAGCCCCTGGGGTCAGGAGTTCAGCTTGAAAGCAGGTCCTCCATTATCCCTTTACAAGAGATTCTCAGTGTAGCACCCTTAACACTTCCTGATTTCATGTTGTCTGCCTTTTGATCTATAACTGTGTATGAGTTTTGTCAAAACACAGGGAGTCAGTGGGAAACAGGCTGTTATAAAAAAAAAACAAGCCAATTAGGTCATTCAACCCTTCATAAAAATCACCCATGATGGCAATTGGGTCATCATTTAACTAAATAAAATCAAGAAGAATTCTGGTGTGGCTACAAAGCTGTATCTAACATCTAAATTAAGTACTTATCTCTTTTCCTCTCTTTATTTCTACTTTTAAAATATGTCTTAGAGGTTGAGAAGCTTCCACGTCAAAGTATACAAAAGAATTATTAACTATTATTTCTCCCCATAGATTGCACCTCACATAATCTTGGAGTTGCACAGTAGAACTCAGTGGCAGAGGGACCCTTGCTTGGGCTTTATCCTTCTGGATCCTGGTCCTAGTTTAGCCTCATCACTTAGCCACCCTGGGCTACATTTTCTTTACTGGCAAAATGAAATAGAAAGAATAAGTAAGACCTACTATTTGATAGTGCAACAGGGTGATCATAGTCAATAAGAACAATTGTACATTTTAAAATAACTTAAAGAGTATAATTGGATGGTTTGTAAGTCAAAGGATAAATGCGTGAGGGGGTGGATGCCCCATTCCCTATGATTTGCTTATCCCACATTCCATGCCTGTATCAAAACACCTCTTGTTTCCCATAAATATAAACACCTACTATGTACCCACAAAAATTAAAAATAAAAAAAAATTAAAGAAAATTTAGAAGTGAAGAAGAAACGCAAAGTAAAGAAGATGGGCGAATAATAAAACTCTAAATGATTCTCCACTTCCAAATTCTATATTTTCCAAATGATTGCAGGGAAAACAGCTTCTCACTTTCACTGAAGCTCTCCTGCTGTCACTTATGCCCACATGGAGGTTGGGTGCATCTAAATGTAAGGGAGAGTGCCAGGAAGGTGAGAAGAAATCTCCAGGTCAATCAAAGCCCAGTCTGTGATTTCCTGTCTGTCTTGAAAATGGGGATTTCCCAAGCTTCAGAGCCAGCCTCACTCATTAGGGATAACAATCAGGGTAATTAACAATGGGTGTGCACCACACAATCAGAAAGACCCAGTGGTATTTGGCAGTGAAAAGTTTTATAAAGGAACTGTTGGCTCCCTTTTGTCTGTGGTTAGGTAAAGATGAAAAAATAGAAAACTCAATTACAATTATCCTAGAGAGTCTTTACTGCTTTAAAATAAGAGGAGTGAAAATGTAATGCATCTGAGGACATTAACTAATAGCTATTAGTGCTTGCAGTATGTTTACTGAACCCTGTAAAATGAGATGGTCATTTATAGAACTTCCTCTTTCCAGAAAATTCTGTGACTACCTAAGCAGCTTGACTGTCCCTTGTGAGGAAAGGATGTGTTTTTCGAGTACACAAAAGAGAAGGCCCTCCAGTGTCTCCCATGAGGTACTGTGTGGGAGAGAAACTCAGTCTTAGCCAAATCACTGTCCCACAGTGAAGTGCCTTATATGACCTAGGAGAGGGTAAGTCAAGTAACCTTAAATTCATGAGAACTGCTTTTGTTTCTAGCAGCAGAGGCTTGAGAAGATGTGGGCTGGATGAGGAGCCAACGTACTGTATACTAATGCTAGGACTGTCCTCGGCCCCAGGAAATAAGAAGGGGAACTCGGCCAACAAGGGGCCAGCCCTGAATGGAGCTCACGGTTTAGCAAAGGAGGTTGATTTAAGGGAGTAGGCCTAAACTGTGACTTCCTGGCAGTGCTGACCTTGGGATTGTCCAAGAATCAGAAATAGCCTTCAAACTGGGACAAGGCAATGAGGGAGAAGTACAAAACCCAGAGGAAAATGGGTTGGTCCATTTTCGGTGGCATAAGGACTCCCACAACATCCATTCGCAGAACCTCAGAGAAGTCAATAGGAACCCTTGAAATTAATCACAGGAATGAGTGTCGCCATTTTCCAGGTCTCTATGATATGCTTGTGGCCAGGCACTTCCCATACATCATCTCACTTAAAATAGGGGTCAGACACTTGACACTCCACTTGTGAAAGCTTGATGACCCATAATTAGAGTGTGCAGGAAGGCTCCCTACTTAGAGTTACGATACAGAACATGCTTTCATTCGCAAGGGAAGAATGACAATTAGGATTTCAAGTGTGCCACTGCTTTATTAAATTGTCCTAATAATCCATTGTTCATATGCAGAGATGTGATAACTGACTGACGGACCCTCAGGACCATGTAATCGTGGGATTATTTCACTAGCAATGAGAGTAAGTTTGGCCTCTTATAAAATCTGCCAGCTAGGTAGATGGCTGGTGGTCATGGGGCGGCATGGTGCCACGGAGCACAGACTCATGGCTTGAGTGTCCCAATTCCCTGCCCCACCGCCCGGCCACTGGGTTGGGGGAAGCATGACTATAATTGATCTGCTTCAGTATCAAGCTCAGAAGTGTGGCCTCATTCTCATGACCAGACATGGTATCACTGGGACTTAAGTTTGAGGACTGTGTAATTTTACTGATGTCACGATGGTTTTATAAGCCACTGTGTAAAAAGTAAAACGCAAGTATTTAAATCTCCACTAAATATGGATGTTTCTGCTCAACTAATAAAAGCAGCTTAGTCAACTAATCAAAGGATTACTTTTAAGAGACCGAAAAATAGAGCACCATGTGCCACTGGCATCTTTGTCCAGTATCCTGATGATTAATAATCAATTTAAAAGAGATATTTATTTGTGGAGTATTTATCAGAATCCATGCAATGCTATTCGCCAGCACACTTTCTCATCTTTTTCTTCAAGCTATTTAAATAATAGAAAAAATACAAAATTAGAAAAAAATATTAAAATATTTCCAGCATACTTATTTAATAGTAAATTCTAACCAAAATTTGACCAGAGCAAAAGAGAATTGTAAAACCATGTGACTCTTCCAATCATATGAGTGGGCAGGGTAGAAAAAGTGGGGAGCAAATGGAATAAATGGTAAGAGACAACATATAATTCATAACGTCCATAAAAATAGTTGTCCTTTGAACCAAAAGTTGTAATAATGCCTAAAATAAGTCATTGTGTAAGGAATTTTAACAGGGCCAAAATTTGCTATGCCTCTTAAATTACTAACAAACATTTGGACTTGTTTTGGAGTGAGTTTTTTTGAACAAATAGTTTAAAGATTTATTGAATTTCCTCCTACATAACACTTAACTTTTGACATATGGTCAGCTAAAGATATTTTGGATTTTATTAAATAGGTAGGTCATGAAAAGAAGGCATGAGAGGGAGCAGATTCTTTGCCTTTTTCTCCTTAAATCTATGGGCAGGGGCTGGGTGTGGTGGCTTACGCCTGTAATCCCAGCACTTTGGGAGACCAAGGTGGGTGGATCACCTGAGGTCAGGAACTTGAGACCAGCCTGGTCAACATGGTGAAACTCTGTCTCTACTAAAAATACAAAAAAATTAGCCCGGCATGGTGGTGGGTGCCTGTAATCCCAGCTACTCGGGAGGCTGAGGCAGGAATCGCTTGAACCCGGGAGGTGGAGGTTGCAGTGAGCTGAGATCACACCAATGCACTCCAGTGTGGGTGACAAGAGTGAGACTCCATCTCAAAAAAAAAAGAAAGAAAAGAAAAATTTATGAGCAGGTTCCACTGAGACCCCTGAGAATGCTGACCCATTAGAGTCCCACCCTCTTGGCTATCCTGGCGCCCCTTTGACTAATGGGGCTTCTTTCTACTTTTCTTTTTAAGGAACTAGAAGAGAGACACCAGTATTTCACGTGCACTAAATTAGGGTAGGGTTTTGAGAGATAAAGGCAAGGGGAGGAGGAGTGTGCATTTCAGGAAGGAAACAAAGTGAACAATTGTGGGCATGGGGTCAGGAGGAAGGAGCAGCTTACAGGAGACCAGTTTGGCTGGTGAAAAGATGTGAGGTGATAGAAGAAAAGGAAGGGGAAGGAAGATTAAGGCATATTACTGAGCTCTCCACCACGATTCAATTATATGACCTCAGTTATTAAACTGTCACTCTGATATCCTCCTCTAATATTTTTTTCAGCTCTCACATTTTCAGTGGAATCCTACGGACTTGGATATTGTTGTCATGGAAAACCATGGGACTTGAGATATAGATTCAGGAGTCATTCATATGAAGGTGATATTTAAAGCAGTGGTTGGTAAATTTACCAAAGGATAATCTGAGGGGAGAGAAGACAAGAAGATCAAGAGCAAAATTTAGGATCATATCCATGGTCAGAGGTAGGAAAGAAGAGGAACCACCAAGGAGACTGAAGAATCACACTGAGAGGAAGGGGGAGAACCAGGATAGGGTCTTCCCAACAGGGTCTCCTACCACAAGATATCAAAGGAAATGAAAAATGGGCAGAGGAAATTGGATCTGGCAAGTAAAGTATGACTCCTGATCTTTAAGATAACACAGTAATAAGCATGATTAAGGAAAACCACCCACAGATCTGGGCCACACGGAGAATGATGAGGTAAGATGAACTTCTGCCTGTAATCTCAGGTCCTAAGGAGGCTGAGGCAGGAGGATAGCTTGAGGCCAGGAGTTCAAAACCAGCTTAGGCAACATAGCAAGACTCCTATTAAAAAAAAAAAAAAAAAAAAAAAAGACGAACTCCCAGGGCCTCTAGTTCTCAGGTGTAGTGCTCTAGGTAATACACCTAATATCTGAAAGTCAGTAAGTTAGGCAAGCTTGAGAAGCCCAGGCGAAGTGCTACCAAACTGAAGCTCCTTGGAGGAGCCAAACCACCTGTTCACTATCTGGATAGATTTCATACCACTAGAGTTCACCAGACCTAGGGGGAGTTAGACCATGTCTATCTCACAATCCATGTCTTAGCTCTCATGGAAAAGAAGAGAGCCCGTAGTGATGGTGCCTGATTCAGGAAAAGTTTGAATTGTCTTCCTTAGGGGCCCTTTATCCAAGCCCTTTCTTCAGAGGCAGGGAAAACAGGAAAATATTTAGGAACAAATGGAGATGCCAGAGAGGAAGAAGTGGGGATTGCGGAAGAATAAGGGTAGAGGCGGGAATGGCCCTGGATGCCTGGATGACCTTCCTCCCACCAGAGGTGAAGGGGTGGTGCCGTTGTAAGGTACAAAGGTCCCCTAGAGGGAACCAGTGCTTTCCTCCCCAAATTGTTCATACCCAATAATAAACACATACCAGATAGCACACACATGGAATGCTGAGGGCTGTTGGAAGCAGACCCAGGCCATCGGGAATCCCCTGAACCAAGGCATGAAAAACATTCTCTTCCTTTGCACCTGTAACACTCTCCCAGTATAACTGTTTCTCTTAAAGCCATAGGTGTCTGTTTTTGAGTTTGCTCCTTGGAGACAGAAACAGAATTACAATATATGGTGTTTTTTCCTCATTTCCTGCTATAGGCTGTTTTAAGTTTCTGTGACAGCTTTTCTATTCCTTCCTTCAAATGGTGAATCTATGTATGGCCTCTATGAATCTATGTATGGTGAATCTATTAATGACTGGGACATAGGCTTAAAATGGGAATGCTTAGGAAATGGAATGTTCTGTAACCAGTATTGTTTCATCTGCTATTATTGGGGAAAAAGAAATCTCTCTACAGATTTCAAACCCACTTTGCTGGTGCAATGGAATGATCAAATAGACTCTCTCTTTGAAGATTTGGCATCTCGTCCAGCCTCAGAGTCATTATTTAGATTATCATGGGGGTCATCGGTGACCTCAGTGCTGTGGATCCTGGGAGAAGGACTGAGGATTAGAGCCAGAAGACGTGGGTTTCAGGATTGGCTCTACTTAGGAGCTGGGAGATTCCAGGCAAATTGCTTAAAAAAAAATTCAAAATTCTCTAAGTCTGTTTCCTCCTCTGAAAAGTGAGAAAAAGATGCAGACTTACCTACTTCTCAGGATTATGTGAAGATTACAAAAATCCTCTGTGAAAGCATTTCCATCAACCTCAAACTCTGAAACCAGGCTGAATCTGTAAAAATGGGATAGGTGCATTCTAAAAGTTCGTTTATAAAAGAAACCTCCCAAGCAAGTTTGACTTCTTGTTCTTTATCTCTTTGTCCTTCAAGGGGCTGCTGGAAAAAAATGAGTCAAAGTTTTCCATTCAAGTTGCTTTTCAGGTAGTTGTCAATATGTCAATGAGGACATAGAACAGATAAAAAAGACTTTACAAGTTGTTTGCTTGTTTGTTTTAAAGTAACTTTTCCCAAATCTTGCAGCTAGCAAGTATCAGTGTTGGGATTCACATATCTGAACTTAAGGCCTGCAGAGACAGGCTGCTGGAAGTTCTGCTTTTCATAAAGACCTGAGGAGCATGCACAAAAAGACAATGGAGGAACATGAGCCAAGCCCTGTAGCAGGACCTAGACTCTGAGGTGAGAGCCACCCCCGAAGCTCTGGGCAGGGCAGTGCTCAGGAGAGGCGCTGCTTCTGATGGGAGAAACCTGAATGGGACATTTGCAGGAAGGGGTGCTGGTGGACACTACATGCGGGGATACACTCAAGTTGCCTTCTGAGTCAACCCCGTTGGCAGCTTGGGCCAAGTCTCTCTGAAGAGGAAGACTGTGATACCTGTATTTGTGAGTCCACAGAGTGCTTACCTGGAGGCTTTGTGAGAAACAGATTGGGAATATCTTTGTAAAAGAATCAGGCCAGGCACAGTGGCTCACGCCTGTAATCTCAGCACTTTGGGAGGCTGAGGCGGGCAGATCACTTGAGGTCAAGAGTTCGAAACTAGTTTGGCCAACATGGTGAAATCCCATTTCTACTAAAAAATACAAAAATTGGCCAGGCATGGTTGCTCATGCCTGTAATCCCAGTCACTCAGGAGGCTGAGGAAGGAGAATCACTTGAACCCAGGAGACAGAGGTTGCAGTGAGCCGAGATCTTGCCACTGCACTCCAGCCTGGGCGACAGAGCGAGACTCCATCTTAAAAAATAAAAATTTTAAAAAAAGAATCGGTTGCTGGTGGGAGAGGGTTCCTTCTTGCACTCAGCACAGTGGCTGACCAAGACAAGTAATCCAGACCATGTTGGTGACCAGGTGAGCACTGGGGATGCCGGGAGGGGTGACATCATGAGGACAGTCTACGGGAAGACACTGCCTGAGCACGCCAGCTCCCCACTGACACATGGTCTTAGAGACAGTTACTGCACACAATGCCCTTGCAGTTGAAGGAGGAAAGAGTAACACAAGGTATTTTGATTGCATATGGAATATTTTCTCTCTTCTTCATCTCATTCTTTTGCTCAGAACAATGCCTATGCTTGATTCAAAGGTTTAGAAACCTTTAGTTTTTCTCATTATTCACCCCTTAGAAATGTGACCATTGTTTCCCTCTTGCTACGACCCCACTGCCTCGAGAGAAGGCTGCGTGACGCCACGGGCACAAGCAGAGGCTTTGCCAGCAGGCAGGAGTGGGTCTGATGTCTGACCCTGACTTTTACCACCCCTGTGACTTCAGAAAGCCGTTCAGGGCCATGTGTGGTGGCTCACACCTGTAATCCCAGCACTTTGGAAGGCTGAGGTGGATGGATCTTTTGAGATCAGGAGTTTGAGACCAGCCTGGCCAACATGGTGAAACCCTGTCTCTACTAAAATACAAAAAATTAGGTGGGTGTGGTGACACACACTTGTAATCCCAGCAACTCAAGAGGCTAAGATGGGAGGATTGCTGGAGTCCAGGAGGCAGAGGTTGCAGTGAGCCAAAATCGGGCCATTGCACTCCAGCCTGGACAACAGAGGGAGACCATGTCCAAAAAAAAAAAAGGCCATTCAGCAATGAGGCCCTCATCGTTAGACAAGAATAATGAATGAGGTGTCATCAAGTTGTTGAAAAGACTACATGCAGTAAGTCTCTCTGGGGCTTCATGAGTACCTACTACTACATGGTAGCCATTGTTTTAATAAATAGGGAAGTGTTTCTATTAAAAACAGAACTTGGCCAGGGGCAGTGGCTCACACTTGTAATCCCAGTGCTTTGGGAGGCCAAGGTGGGTAGATTGCTTGAGCCCAGGAGTTTGAGACCAGCCTGGATAACACAGTGAGACCCTGTCTCTACAAAAAATTTTAAAAATTAGCTGGGCATGGTGATACATAGCTGTAGTCCTGGCTACTCAGGAGGCTGAGACGAGAGGATAACTTGCAGCCAGGAGGTTGAGGCTGCAGTGAGCGGCGATTGCACCACTGCACTCTGGCCTGGGTGACAGAGGAGACTTTGTCTCAAAAACAGCAACAACAACAAAACAGGACTTGAGTCTTCAACCCGTCTCAGGGAACTGCAACTTTTCTGTGTAAAGAATGCCTAACTGTGTAAGAATTATCATAATTGCCCATCCTCTTCCTCTCTCTCCACATCAAAGCATCCGAGATTTCTGCTTCACCCCCAATAAGACCCCTCTGTCAGGTTCTCTCAAAATATTCTTTCTTCAAATTTGAATTTCACATCATTATTTACTACTCCACCCTTTTCTAACATCTGCTAATTCTTCCTTACAATTCCCCTACCTTTGCAGTGTAGTTCCCCCCCCGCTCCCCGGGGAAATTCACATTCTCCTGTTAATAATTCATAAACGTTGCCAGAGACAGATGAATGAAACAATTTCCCATTCATGTCCTGCTTTCCAGGGATGCTGTGAGAATTAGTTAGATGACATCTGCAATTCACAGCCTGCTCTAAGAGAAATATGATATATTCACATCACATTTAACAGAACATTCTCTTAATGCAAGGCAAATAACTGCTGCCATACGCCTGTTTCAAACGGGCCCAACCCCTGCCTCTGGGGACCTCTTATAAACCCTGTCACCTGTAGCAGCTTAACTCTTCTTTAGGTGTGTACAATTCCACTGAACAGGAGTGAATTTCTGATTAGCAATATTGTCAAATGAGTAGTATTCTTTCCCCCAAATGTGAATCTAACAGGGTGCCCAGACACTTACTCAAATGTCCCTGTCTCACTATTTCTACTCTACCCACCTCCTCCCCGCATTTCATGACAGGTGGAGATTTCCTCTCCTCTGGACAAAGAGACCGGTTCCACGGTGCACCCTGACGCATCCTTGAACTTTTCCAGCTGCTGCAGTATTTTCTTAGGACTGATCACCACTTTCTGTTTTTATGGAATTTCAACCTTCGTATCAAACTCATGCCACAAAAATAGAATTTAGCTGTAATAAGAAACTAGGGGCCCGGTGCGGGGGCTCACGCCTTTAATCCCAGCACTTTGGGAGGCCTAAGTGGGAGGATCACGAGGTCAGGGATTCAAGACCAGCCTGATCAACATGGTGAAACCCCATCTCTACTAAAAATACAAAAATTAGGTGGGCATGGTGGCGGGCCTGTAATCCCAGCTATTCGGGAGGCTGAGGCAGGAGAATCACTTGACCCCGGGAGGCGGAGGTTGCAGTGAGCCCTGATCACGCCAGACTGGGTGACAGAATGAGACTCTGTCTCAAATAAATAAATAAATAAGAAACTAGGTATCAGTGGCAATTATTCCTACCTGTGAAGACTTAAAATATAAATTTGATATTTGGATGAGACTGGCCTTTACCATAGTATTAATAACAATTGTTCATAGAAAATGGCATAACATTGACCACAGTTTATAATCAGATAGTATGCAATTTTTTTTTTAACTGTCTGCTCTCTTGCGCGCTCTTGTACCTATAACTCCAGGCTGAGAGGAAACACCTTCCAGAAACAGGCAGTGCCCAGACAGAGAAGCACAGGTCCACGCAGGCAGCCAAAGCCATCTTCTTGTTTGAAAGATGCCCTTTTCTTCCAACTGAAATAAAAGACATAATTAGTTTAAGCAAGGCTGTGGGCAGGAATGCATCACCAGCTCAAAGGGCAGGTTTTGATGCCAGCCCCACACACAAAGCCAGGCAGAGACAAAAAAACACACAAAGCTTCCAGACACACAAAGCTTCCCTTCCAGGAAAATGGCATTTTGTTGTCAGCCCCTACCTATTATGTCCGTTAATCTCTTTCCTTCTTTTTTCTGCTCTTTTACCCTCTTTCCTGATATGGCAAGTGTTGCCATTCTTTCTTTTTTCTCTTCTTTTTTTTTTTTTTTTGAGACAGAGTCTGCAATGACTGGATCTTGGCTCATTGCAGCCTCAACCTCTCCAAGTGCAAGTGATCCTCCCACCTCAGCAACCCCTGCCCCCACACCGAGTAGCTGGGACTACAGGCATGCGTCACCACGCTTGACTAACTTTTGTATTTTTTGTAGAGATGGGGTTTCCCCATGTTGCCCAGGCTGGTCTTGAACTCCTGAGCTCAAGCAATCTGCCTTCCTCAGCCTCCCAAAGTGCTGGGATTACAGGGGTGAACCACCAGGCCGGCCATCTTTTTTTCTCTTGTGTCAGTCTTGTTCTTTGATGAAAAGATGAGAGGGACGGGAGGGGCCGTGAATGACAGCCTCATTTGGTGCATTCTCACAGGTCACAGTTCAGGCAACTCTAGGAAGTGAAACATTCTGAGAACCCTTCCCAAGGAGATATGCTTTATTTTGTTTTCCCCTATAAGCCTCCTTGACTTATTTGCTGTCAGGAAATTTGAACTCTTGATATTATAAATATGAGGAAAATTTTCTGTTTTGTTTTATTTTGTTTGTTTTTACTCTGGGCCCACTACACAATCTCTTAGCAGGTCACTGTGTTTTCATAAGGAAAACCGAAGCCTTTGGCGATCCTTCTCTCTGTTCCTGTGCAAGAAGGGGGGGCTAGGAGGAGCTTTCTGGCCCCAGCAGGAGGCGTGGCAGGCCGAGCAACAAGTCACTATGGCGGACACAGGGTGACTGCAGAGAGGCTGTCAGTGGAGCTATCTGGGCAAGCCCTGAAGGAATTCCAAAAGGACCCTTTGTCTCCAAAACAGTTTAAGGTGTTGATTTTGTTTCCTTCAAAGCATGACAGTGTGGGCAAGCTTTCCTCAATAAAGCCCTCAGAGCAGGTGGGAGGAATCCAGTTCTCTTGATGAGATTAGAAATGTGATTGTCAAGACTGTGGGGCGGGAAGAGGGGCTTTTTCAAGCTACAAGTTGGCCAGAGTCACTGCCCTTGAGGAGAAATGCCACTGATGGGAATATGTTACATACACGATGGTGAGGAGGTAAAAAAGAAGTGTTGGGAACCATTAGAATCTGCAGTGTGTGTGTCTGTGTGTGTGTGTGTGTGTGTCTGTGTGTGTTTGGCCCATGAGAAAGATTATTCCCAGCCCTTAGACTTTCCTAAAGTATGAACAACGTTAAGAGATCCAACTTTTGATTTGGATTTGAGATTTTCGATTTAATGTGACATATTAATGAAAGCAATGTGTGGTATTTCACATCACAGTTTTCTACAGAGTACTGCAAGATTCAGTCCCAGATAAGTCAGGAGGATAACCAGGAAGCTGAAAGAAAAAGGGATCAAAAATCAAAATGGGGGAGAAACAAAAGGACACTACTCCCAAATAAGTTATTTAAGTTTGTGAGACAAACACTATTTGGGGGAAGTATTAAAAGCCCTGCAAAGGCCTACACTCTATGAAGGCAAAATGGCTGCCTTCACTCTGCCGGCCTTCATGGCACTGGAAGAAAATCCAGCATGAGTGGAAGTTTCTGGAACCCCTCATGGAGCTGGGGGTAGTGGGAGTGTGCTGGGTCCATGGGCACTGGGTCACTGACCACACTTCTGTCCTGGTGTCTAACTGTCAACCTATTTTATGGCATAGTGGCATTGGATACACATTTGGGCATAGCCAAGTTGTATTTGTCATGAATATTCATTCAAGTGAATTGAGAAACATTCCATAGATTGAGATTTACACTTTAGTGAGGATCAATAATATTGGTTTGATTTGAAAAGAATAATGCATTCTCTTATTTAAATTTTTTCTATGTGGTTTCTAAAAGGTCAAGTGTGTTTTTTATAAAGGTGAGAATATATTCCTAGGTAAAATGAAAAAAAGTTGGAGTATAAATATGAAATCCTTAAAATCTAAATACATGGATTATAAGATTCCATAGAAAATTTAAAAGGGGGCTCTACTTTTTATTGGATGCTTGCTATATGCCAGACCAAGTGCTTTACTAATATTGTTGATGAATGAATGAATGAATGAATGAATGATCCTACATGATATTTACTAATATTTCTATTTTACCAGTGAGGAAACTGAGGCTGTCAGAGGTTGTAAGAAGTCACCCCATCTAATAGATATCAGAAATAGAATTCAAACTCAAATATTTCTGACTCTGATTTATGTAATGTAGGAGAGGTTTAGAACAGAGTGCTGGAAAGAATCACATTTAATCAATCCCCCCACACTGTCTTGGGCCAGTTGATGAAGACAGCTTTTATTTTTCTCCTTGGAGTCCCTAACTTCCCCCGCTGAGTGCCAATCTCCTCATTCATTTTCTCACGTTACTCATCTCTTTTATCCACTCAATTCTGGTTGAAATTAGTGGAATCTTCATGCTGAAGAGCTTCTAATGACATAGAGAACTGGGAATACTAACCCAATGTTCTGATCTTTTTTAAAAGCCCAGACAGAAAATAATATTGGCCCCAGCGGTCAAAACCCAGACAACTCTAGTTTTGATGGGATAGCGCCCAAAAAGTTCAGATGCTTCCCTGAACTCATCCAAACCTTGGGCGGTCTCCTGCTTTTCCGGAGGGAACATGCTTGGTGAATGATGCACCAAGTTGAAACACATGGAGAATGCCCTCCGTGGGGACTCTTGGGTCTTGTGTGAGGTTAAGTCCCAATTGCACATCAAGCTGCCGTGGTATTTCTCCTCTGCAAGCAGGCTTTGTCCTGTTGAAAATGGAATCTCAATCACACAGAAAGCACTGGAAGTTACATTAGTGAAGTCATCAACCATGTATGCACGGTCTTCGTTTTATGCATCTACCTTGCATCAGATGTTAGCCTACACACGTCACCTGTGTTATTTCATTTACTCTTTGCAACAAAACTGCCAGGTAGTTGTTATCTTTACTTAACAAATGAGGAAACCAAGGCCTGGGTTGATCAAGTAATGTACTCAGAGTCACATGACTTGAAGATGGCAGTCAGGATTTAAGCCAACTCTGTTCATCTTCAAAAAGTGTGTATCTAATCACGCCACAGTGTCTCCTGACCAGCCCAGAAAGACACCAGCAAATACTACATCTGGGAATGAATTTGTACCCTAGCTTTATTTCCAATGGATGACATCCTCTCTTGGTTACTTCTGAAAGCAGGGATAGAAGCAGTGGAGCTGGCAAGCATCCCTGGTTCACATGTAGCAAACATGGGTGACGTGGCCAGGCTGCTGGACAGAGGTTATTGGTTCGGGCCAAGTGATGGTAGTTAATAAGCTCCAAGGAAAAGTAAACCCTCAGCTGACTGGAACCTCTGAGAAGCCCATCAGAAAAAAAATTTGACAAGATAGACTAGGATTAAAATTCATAGATGGCTTTAGAACTCAGAAATAAATCAGGAAGAAAAAAATCTATGTGCAAGCCAATTCCATAAATACTAGAACCTCATAGAATCATTACAAGTCCCCATAACTTGGGCCTGAGTGAAACTGCGGTCCCTTCACTGTAGTAATTTAAACTTGACTGTTTATTTTGGCTTCTGCCTTCTCAATGACTTGTTCTAATCGAAATGCTTTGATGAGATGCACAAAAGGAATAAAAATATGATTGAAAAGCCAGAGAGTAATATCTTGGTTTAAAACAACTGTGAACACAAACTTTAATCTTTGGCATTGCCATAAGGGCCATCTTAGACTAACTAGGGCAAACACTTTTAGCATCTTGTTTGGAAAAACATTTTTGGTTTTAGAGTGGGTGTCCATGTATCATAACACAACACTTTTTAGAACATAATTAAAAAAAAAAAAAAAGCCTCTTATTCTGCCTACAATCCATGTGCTTTTGACATCATGAGTTCCATTTCTTGAAGGCTTCTATAAAAATCCATGGCTTAGAGAAGGTAAAGGCAACATTATGCTGAGTTCAAACAATATTTGTGGGACTTGGGTTCCACTTTTTCTATAAGAGAGCCAATGTGTTTTTCTCCTGTTTTACATGAAGCACCCTCGTGGATCTGCATGTCTTTAGTCATCTTGGTGGAGTACTTACTTGAATTAGATATTATCTTCTTGAAGTCAATAGGAATAATAAATAATAAATGTTAATATTTATTAAAATGTTACCATAAGTCAGGTATTCTCAAGCAGAACTGGATTCAAAGCCTGGCCAAGCTACTTGACCATCTGTGAGGCCATGGACAAGTTCCTTATCTCTCAAATCATGAATTTTCTTATCTACAAATTGGTGGTAGTAATGCATTGGTTTGTGCAAAGGATTAAATGAGTTAATACATGTTGTATTAGTTTGCTATGGCTGCCATAACAAAGTACCACAGACTGGGTGGCTTAAAAAACAAAGTTCCCTTTTCTCATGGTTCTGGAGGCTGGAACCTGAGATCAGTGTTGGCAGATTGGTTTCTTCTGAGGCCTCTCTCCTTGGCTTGTAGACGACCGCCTTCTCCTGTGTCTTCTTATGGTCTCCTCTCTGTGCGTATGTGTGTCCTAATCTTCTCTTCATATAGGGAAACCAAGCATATTTGGATTCAGACCCACTCATACGACTTCATTTTACCTTAATTATCTCTTTAAAAACCCTATCTCCAAATAAAGTCACATTCTGAGGTACTAGGCACTAGGACTTCAACATAATGAATTTTGGGAAGGGATACAACATATGACTTTGGGGAATTCACCCCATAGCCTGTAAGAAATGCCTAGAACATGATATACTTTTACAAAATGCTGAGTCTCTTCTCCCCTCCACTTCCAAGGTTTGGTGTCAATAAGACATGAAGCATGTACACAGGCTCTTTGACTTTTTCAGGTTCCTTGACAAAGGTACTAAATTGCAAGATAATCCCACTGAAATGGGATGTCCATTGTTGCTCACACAAGGGCCAGCAGTTTAAAAATGGAGGCAAACTCGGCCGGGCATGGTGGCTCATGTCTGTAATCCCAGCATTTTGGGAGGCTGAGGTGGGCGGATCACAGGTCAGGAGATCAAGACCATTCTGGCTATAGTGAAACCCCGTCTCTACTAAAAATACAAAAACTTAGCCAGGCGTGGTGGCGGGTACCTGTAGTCCCAGCTACTTGGGAGGCTGAGGCAGGAGAATGGCGTGAACCTGGGAGATGGAGCTTGCAGTGAGCTGAGATCACGCCACTGCACTGGGCAACAGAGTGAGGCTCTGTCTCAAAAAAAAAAAAAAAAAAAAAAATGGAGGCACACTCATCTTCACTTTACATCTCAAAAAGTGTAAGTCATAGTACAAAGAGGAGCTTTTTAACTCTGGACCTCTCAGATTTCATTGATTTTTCTCTTGTTCAAAGGCAAGCAAAGGAAGTATCAAGCCATACACTCAACAATGACAACAACTACAATGACGTGACAAGGGTGATCATAGCATCTATCATTTACTGAGGACATCCACAGTCCTTTTTGCCTTCGAAAGGAAAGTTCTTTAAGTGCATTCTCCCATTTGATCTATCATAACAACTCTACAAATGGTAGCTGTGAGTGCTTTAAAATAAACTGAAGATTTTTTTTTTAGAAAAAAAAAAAAACACATTGGGAATTTCTACATGTAAGAAAGGATAAAATCAGTGTTGATTTCATGAGAGGACTCACCAACCCACATTATGATTGTCACTCTAAATGCAGTTTTGCTGACATAAATACTATCTAGGTACCCTAGAGGCTGCTGACATCCACATTTGGAATTGTAGCATCTTCTGGAACAGAGATTCCTTGGTAGGTGTCAATTGACCTAGCGAGCTGGGAGGGGACCTGCTTATAAGTCCTTCTCTACCTAGCAAACCGCTCTGCATACCGTGAAGATATACTAAGTATTTATAGAGTAAATGCTGCACCTTCCCCTCCAGACTCTGAGTTCCCTTCTCCCTTTAGGGTCATCACGGCCAGCAGCTCCGATGGACTCATAGATCAAACCCCTCCTATGCCAATCAAAGAACTCCCAAGAACACGCTGTTGAAGATGACAGGGCCCACCACTGGGCCCTTGGTAATTTACTCTCAAATGCTTGGGGATTTTGAGCAAGAATCTTAGTCACGTGAACATATCTGTCAAACAGTCGTTGGGAAGGCAGAGAGACCACATGTTGAAATTCTAAAGTTTTTACTTAATGACACTTCTTCTTCCCAAGAGGGACGGATGTGGCAGCTTCTGCCGATAATAATGGAAACGCACATTCTGAGATGTTGCAAGTCATGGAGACGCCCAGGCCATGGTGCTGCCTGTTGGAGGCTGCTGTGGTGTTTCTGTCTGAAGGGGCTGGCTGCCTTTTTCTCATTCAGCTCAATGCAAACACCCATCAAGAAGGGTCAAGTGGGCATAGCTTTCAGAGTCTCCTTCAGGCTTGGACAAAGGCTTTGGAGACAGAGAGGCATGCAGGGGTGCACACAGAGAGCTGCCCGCTGGCACTTCATTCTCTGGACATGCTCAGGCCTGTGGGCAGGGCCTTGAGTTTGTGGCCTGCCATCAACTCCATTGAGCAGCGGCCTTGGCTGGGTCGTACACAGCATTTTTTTCTGTCTGAAGGATGACCCGGTTAGCAAAGGACAAATACTAGCACTCCCAAAAAATAATTAAGTCTTTGGACCCTTTTCTGCAAACACAAATCTGTGTGAGGTTTTCTGGAGCAAATGCTGTAGGCTACATTCCAAAGGCCAAGAAGAAAAATACCATGCGGGTCAGTCACCCATGCTGTCTCCATAAATAGCACCATGCATTTCTGAAGTAATGAGTGGTGTTAGGCAATCCTCTTTATGGTACCAGTGGGACAGCGGCTTTAAGGGCCATGGATATGACAAAGATAACAAGGGATGGACAGAGGGCGAAGTCAGTCAGATCACAGTATGTTAGTCAAGTCACTTAATTATGCTGGAGCTCCATTATTCTCTGTTTTAAAGTTAGGCTGGCTCAGTGTGGTGGCTCACACCTGTAATCCTGGCACTTTAGGAGGCCGAGGCAGGAGGATCTCTTGAGTCCAGGAGTTTGAAACCAGTCTGGACAACAAAGTGAGACCTTGCCTCTACAAGAAAATTATTTTAAACAGCTGAGTGTGGTGGTGTGCACCTGTGGTCCCAGTTACTTGTGAGACTAATGTGGGAGGATCGCTTGAGCCCAGGAAGTTGAGGTTGCAGTGAGCCGTGATTGGGCCACTGCAACCCAGGCTGGGTGATACAGTGAGACCCTATCTCAACAAATAAAAAGGTTCAACTGATAACTCTGTTCCACAAGGTAATCCACTTACCCAGAGCCCATTTATCAAGAGCCTGCCATGTGCAGAGTCCTGCGTAAAGGCTGGTGGTGATATTGAATAGAATCGTGTAGTGAAGACACAGCCAAGCCGCTGCCTCATCAAAGGCTGTCCTTAAACGTTGGGTGACTGTGGGAAGTGGTTGGGGAAAGAGGACACATTAGGCCTGGGTTCTTTTAAAATGTGGATATTTGTTCAGGTTCCTTAAATAGTTATTGAAAATATTAAAAATTACTGTCTTCCACAGGAATAATGATTGAGCACCAGAAACAGACAGCCGAGGTCCTGGGAATAGAGGATAAACCAGGAAAAGCAAGCTCCATTCTGGCTTGGGGGACCTTGACTGAGCTTTGACAAATGTGCACAGACTCCCAAGAGGATCCAAGCCTTCAAATCCAGGTTCAAACAGGTAAGGAGTGGAGGGGCAAGGTGCCAGTTAAGTTGGGGGAAAGGCGATGAAAGGGGCAGATTAATATATTACAAGGAAAACTATAGGAGAATTCCTGGGAACAAACTAGCAGACATGTTTATCCTGCAAGAAGCCTGGGTGATTTGAGTGGCTGGCTGGAGGGAGGGGGAAAAGGAGTTAGCATTAATCATGCTCCCAAATTCAACTCCAGCATCTAACGAAATAGACAATAACTGGTTTTGCCACTCCTGTTCCTCACATCCCCCGGGGTCAAGGCCTGGCTGGAATTCAAACAGGATTTCAGATCAGGCCTGAAAAGTTGTGTGCAGTTAAGTTCATTCTGGAAGGCACGCTTGATATAGAAATGAATTTTTCTTGGTCTAATTTTGAAAGGATCTGAACTTAGTGAGAGTAACTGGGTGCTTTAAATAATCTCCTACTCTTTTTTTTCTTAAGAGGAGCGTTCTATGGCAGAGACTGGCCAATAGCACTGATCACACCTACTTCAAGTCCCAGTTTGGAACATAGATTTTTTTGTGTTTTTAACGGAAAAATAGAAGTCTTTGTAAACTACCATTTACCCTTCATTTGCCTCTTCCTCGTGTTGTGTGATTTCTTTTGGCATCATAGTGCTCCCCTAAAGGGTCCACCAAGGTGAACTTGGCTAGGCAGTGCTTCAAAACACCCCATCGGTAGAGATGAAGGATGACAGGTCAAATCCAGCATCACTCTTGGGCTGCCTGGCATGCACCTAGGACATCAGGCACACCCATGCTGAAATAAGGAATCGGCCTTGCTCAGAAAGAGTCATCTATGCATTTCTTCTTTCAATGATACATGTAGTAGGGGTCAAGGGTTGGGACCAAGTTTGGAGAGAGCAGGAGAGAAGGGCTGGAGGAGTGGATGAGATGGCAGACAGGGGAAGTAAACTAAAGGTAAACCAGAACATCCCATGACACCAGTTGTGAGGAGGAGACTCACCAATGCTGAAGTTTCTGCCGTACTGAAGACGCCTGTTCAGGATGAGCCCAATTTTAGCCTAGGAGAAATAAATCAACTATGGGGCAAAAGGTTTAACGAGTAAAAAGTATCATTCCAAAAATGTGATGCAGTCCACATCCAAAGTTGTTAGGTCAAATAACATGAGGAACTAATGCAGAAAAGAAAGCCGCTGCCTGGGCGTGGCGCTGCAGGTCCTCACACCACATCCCTGCACCACGTCCTCCCAACCTCCTACCACTGGGGTCCTGCCCAGCCAGCAGGCAATGGGAGGGAAACTCAGGCCTTGCAATTCCTTAATTTTGGAGAAAGTGAGGTGGGGAGTTTCTGACTTGTATATCCTTTAATTAAAGGGAATCTGACCTCTTCTATGACGATAATAATAATAAAATGTCTCAGAAGAGAATGGGGGTGTGCAAGAGAGTTATGCATTATCCAAGATCTGCACAAGACAGCAGGGCTTGGAACAGTAAAATCTTGTTTGCTCACGTGGCTCGAGTAACCTAAGGGGGAAAAAAACCCAGAACATTATTGATTAGATGCCAATTCACATAGCTCTCTTTGTCTGCTTTTTATTATCAGTATTTCTTTAAAAGGTTAATAGATCCTGGTCCTGACAAGCATGAAGCCAGGAGGTGGGCTCTTATCCAGTGTTTTCATTCTTCAGCCCTCAAGAGACAATGATTAGATTTTAATATTGAATGCAGAAACCACACTCACTGTGTGAACTTTCTGAGAGAGCTCCCCACCTAAGACAGAAAAAGTGAAGAAGTTTTATTGGAAGGATTGTCAAAGGCGGGGGTGGGGAACACTTTGGGTCTCTTTGGGCCAGTTGATTAGGGATGAGTTGATTTTCTTATGAACACTCTAAATCTACTCTCCCTGGGGGCAGGGAAACCTGAGAAGCTTGGATTTCAATGATTTAATTCCCGTTCTAAGAATAGCCAAACCTGGGGTGGAGAGAAGGGAATGAAGTCAACCACTGAAAGAACATTTGCAAATTGAGCAAAGCCCTGTGAATCTTAGGTAATAGCTGGGAGCCGAGTTTCTTTCTTCCACATTTCATAAACTACAAAAGAACTCAGCAAAACATGCCAACCAATGGATGCTCTCCACAGGTTATGTGATCTAAAGCTGAAATACAAGAAGCCAAACACAATTAAAATGTCCTTCCATTGGTAGGTTCATGGTGATGCTTTGCAGAGGCATCACCTAACCTACCAAGCTTTGGACGTGCTTTATTCATTACAACACTGTCAACATTAAGTTGCCATGACTTCCTATCCCAATTCATGAATTGCATCTACATACACCATATAATCAGCCTCACCAGTGTACTGAATGTGGACAGGTCTTCCTTATGCTGGGATTAATTAGTTAGTCTCTGGGTGTACCCTTGAGCTTTAGCGATCCACTTCACTCCCCAGCACAGTGAATCCAAAAAGTACAAGACCCTTTCTCCAAGGAGGAGATGCAAATTCATAGGTAGCCTAAAGCCTAACCTCAGGTTAGCCCCTGAGATCAACCCAGTTCCTTCTTACAGCAGGATCTCCCTGTGATGGCTTGGCAGGATTGACTGAGCTAGTGCTTCCTTCCAATGTTTGATTGGTTAAATAAAGATAGCTTTCAAGGTTTATATAATAGCATTCAGAACACAGCCTTCAGGGTAACTGGTGAGTAGAAATGGCAACATGTATGAGTCCGAATATTAAAAAGGAAATAACGCAAATCAGTGTTCCATTTCAAGGGTACATTTGATGTTGCATATCAATATCATTTTACATTTGAGGGTGAGCCCACCCTATGTTCCCTGTGAGCTGTGAGCAAGAGATAATGATCACACCCAATCCCAGCGGAGGCTACAGGTGAGGGGGAGGAGAAAAATCACAGAAACCGGTCTTGTCCACTCTGTTAGGAATAAGATGACATGAACAGCTTTTCCTACCACAGTATCTCACCAACAGATTAGTTTTTAAAGAGAGGTTAAATCTGTTTGAACCTTGGCAAATTTGTTACTGTAACCGTAGCATAATTGTACGTGAAAACCAAATATTATTGTCCTTTATTATTCTGCTTTGTCTCCCATGTTTTTCCCATAGCTCTTAAAACAAAAGTGCTCAGCCAGGTTCTCACCCTTTGTCACTGAATGGAATGCATAGTTTTGAAGGCTGATAGACAGCTTAAAAAGGCAGCCGAATTTATATGTGATTTGAATAGTTGGCACCGTCATGCCAACTACTGGCACTCTATATTCACAAGGCAACATCATTTTTCCTAAGGCCCTTCCTAGGCTCTGTTTTCTAGGGCGAGTTGTCTCTCCATGGTGTCTGCTGCCTCCTCATACTCTTGGCTGACTTATATTCATTCCCTAGACACCCAGGAACACACTCCCAGAGCAGCCAGATTCAGAGCTAGTGTGTCCTTCATAGATAGGCAGTAAAACATTCCAGTGTAGTTCCTCTCAGAGGGCTAGAATCGTTCGAGTTCTCTCCTGCTAGTTTGTCAAAAAAACTCCTGTGCCAAAAATGGAATAGTTTCTTGTAGGAATTATATATGCTTATTCTTAAGGCCATGTACGTAGGACCAATGAAGGCCTACTATCTTCTTTTTGGACATCACTACTAGATGGTGTGTGTGTGTATGTGTGTAAGTGTGAGTGTGTGTGTGATAGAGAGAGAAACAAAGACAGAAAACACAGGAAAGCCAGATCCTGTCTTGTCGAATGGACAGTTTTTCAAAAGGAGCAGTGAGAATTTCCGGGGATTCACCGGTCGGTCTCTTCCAGTGTTTATCATCTCACATTACTCTCAGAAGTGACTTGTTAAGAGTAACTCATCTAAGAACAGAAGTCAGTTATACCGAGAAAAATAGTCTAGACCTTGATGCCTTTTGTTTGTAATTTCCTTGTGCATTTTGCTTCCCCCACAGTAGATAAACCAGGGGTGTTCACTAACTGGAGTCAGAAACCTCTCAACTCAAAACGTCTGGGAAGTCCTGTGTTCTGTTAGTTCCAATATACACGCATCAGCCATAAGGGATGTCTAAACAGTGCAAGACAATAAAATCCCTTCATGTTTTCTGTTTTAGGGAAATCCTGCATGGTTGCACTAGGGTCATAAAAAATTACTAATGTGTTTTCTCATGGCGCCGGGCCATCACATGGGCCCTGTGCAGTGGTATTGTATGCGGCCTGTAATCACAAACAAATGTATTCCACAAGCAGATGAGCTGTTATATGAGAAAGTGTGAGAGGTTAGAGCTTGAGCCTTTGTGTCAGCTACGAAGCAGGTCCCGCCACAGTGGAAGACCCCTGAGGCCATGCAAATGAAAATGGCAGTGCCTGCGGGGGTGGGGGTGGGAGGACGCCGCCAAGAGGGATGAGGTCACTGCAATAAACATCCAGCTTCCCTCTGAATGGGAATTTAGAAAAGCCTTCAACTATGGCACTATGTGGACTAGGAAAGGAGGTAGAATTTGTGGGTCAGGTGGGGCGAGAAGTGGAAATACTCGTAAAGAGGAGACAAGTGACATCAGTGGGTGTCCCAGAAGGAGGGGTAGCTGAATAGGGAGCCAGCAGGCCTGGAGGCAGCCTCTGTCAGTGATGGAGAGGGGCTGTCTGCTTCTGCCAACACTCCTGTGACATGTCTAGCATGAGGGGACACACAAGGGAGGCAAGTTGTCAGTATGACACCCAGGTTTGCCATCACTGCAGGTCTGGCTTGGAAGGACATTTATAATACTTTCTGGGGCCAAGCATCATTCTGTCCAGGCAAAAAGAAATTCTCATTAAAAAGCTGATGTATTTTGCCTTTGCCCCAAAAAAGGAATGTTCAATGTTCAAGCTATAAACAGTGGCATTTCTTCATGTGAGTTCCTGTTAAAAAAAAAAAAAAAAAAAAAAGGGAATGCGTTTCAGAATTCTTAGAAGTGGAAAATTACTCCATACAAGCAATATGGCCAAATCCAAAATGCATTTACACAGAAGCAGTGCTGTGGAGTGGAAATGCGCAGATTAAAAACCTTCGTTCTCCTGCTCCCTGACTGATTCTAAGCAAGTTACTTATGGTTCCCGAACCCCAGCTTCCTTATCAGGAGACAAGGGTAGTAATATCTGCCTTAAGGATTGTTGTAAAAATAAATCTCACATTGTGATCGCTACCCTTATGCCAACAACTTTTAGGTATTTTTCTCTCCGCTCACATTTCTCTCCTGAGCTCTGGATTCATAGACTCTCTCCCAGGACCCTCAGGCTCCTCCACATCAAATGTCCAAAACGAAAATCATCATCTTTGCTCCCTCCAGCCTCACAGATCTGTTTTCTACTCAGCTAAGTTTTCTACATGTATCGCCAGAAAACTTAGGCATCTCCCTAATTTCTTCCTCTCCAACACCACTCTCAAATAAATCACCAAATCCTTTTGATTGCAACTCTTTCAAACTTCCTAGCTGTCTGCATCCCTAGATCAGGTGCCATCATTTCCTCCTAGATCATTGCAGGAGTCTCTTTGCCTCTCACCTTGGCTTCTCCTCTCGGCCTATTCTCCACACTCCCTCCAGAGAGATCTTTGGCAAGAGCCAGTCGGCTTGGTCCTCTCCCTGGCTTAAGTGGCTTCCCAGTGCCCTCAGGGTATTTCTTACCCTGGTTTGCCAAGCTTTTGTCAGTTCCTTTCTTACCACTCTACTGCTATCTTTAGTCTCCACAGCTCCTGGCACTTTAGTTCCCTTTAGCCAAGTCAGACCTTCTTGACTTTCTCTTATCTTCGGTTCTTTGCAGAGGTTGTTCTCTCTGCCTGAAATTGGCTTTTTTCCTGCTGTCTCCTCTGCCTTATCTGACTAATTGCTACTCATGCTTCAGGTCCAAATTTAGATATCACCCCCTCCAGAGCCTTTGCACCCACAAGGCTGGATAGGCATCCCTCCTATGTGCTGCCACGATACCTTGTACCCTCCCTAGCATAGGCACATGGATGTCATCATACTGGGCTTGCCCATGGACCTGCCAGTCTCTTCCAATCGAGAGCACGCTCTTTGAGGACAAGGGTTGGCAGCAGTATATCTTCAGTGACATGTTGCAGACCGCTCAATAATCATGTGGGAAGGGAGGGAGAGAGGGTGGGAGAAAGGAATAACATGACATGTTAAGCACTTAACACAGAATCAGTCACATATCAGCAATTATTAGTCTCCACTTTATGTTAATAAGCCACACATGTCTGCTTTTCTCAATCAGGCCTCATAATTAGTTTTTGATGCTCAGCAAACTGGTGAAGTCCTTTCATAGCTAGATCCGTTATATCTCTACAGTGAGCCAAGTGTCCCCATGGCAAAACTGTCTTAGATTTAGTCCTACTGACAATGAATTTAAAGTATTTAGGAAAACATTGCTAAAATGTCCTGAACACATTGGATTAGGGGACTGGAATGGGTGGTGGTGGGGTTAATGCCTTTCCTTTACCCTACTTTTCTCTTCTTCTTCTGCCTCCTCTTTCTTCTTTTTCTCTTTTAATCAGAGTCAAAGAGAAATCCTGGAAGAGAGTCTTTAAGCCAATTTGGAAAAGTGTTTCTGCTCCGATATTCTTGGGATCTTAGAACACAGAGGCTCTATCAGTTTCAGAAGGCTCCAGATCAGAGGTTGCAACCTTAAAAATTAACCCCATTCCTCTATGACATGACTGGGGAAACCGCCCTTCTTGCTCCAAACCTTGCTCTGCTCATCCCATCCCTAAGAGAAGTGACGTAACTAGAAACCAGGTCTTGCCTCAACACTGTTGAGACGCCCCCAATATTTGCTGCAAGCACCATGAGACAGGACAGGGTGATCTTGTTCACTGCATAACCACAGCACAGTGCCTGGACAGAAGAGCTGCTCAGAAAACACCTGGTGAACAAATATGTCAAAGGAATGTTCCTTCCTCTCCTATAGGAACTCCTGGGTGTAGGGAAAGTGGGTATCTCATTTCATAGTGATGGTAATGCAGCATAGTTAGAATCACTGTCTTTGTGCCTCCATTTGCCCATCTAGACTTTGAGCTCTGGGATGCAGGAATCCCTGACCCCACTTTACCAAGCCTACTGCCTGACCCATAAAAGGTGCCCTATAAAGTGTGTTCAACTCAACAGAACCATGCTGTCTAGACTGGTGGGTAGATGCTTAGCTTTAACATGACTAGTCACCTTTCTGCCAAGGAGAATAAAGTGTTTCATGTTTCTTGCCTTTCTCCTTTCTCATAGCAGTGGGTAGGTGAAACAGGGGCACATCCACAATATGGAAATGAGAAACTTAAAGGGACACAAAAAATTTAGTGGTTTGTCTAGGATCACACATGGCACACTCATCGCCAAAGTCCTGATGTGCAGGTCTGAGGGTCTTTCAACAGCATAGCCTGTCATCGCAGGTAAGAAGGGCAATAATATCTAACTTAATAATGCATAGTTTACATCGTCTGCCAGAAAGATTATTGCTACATTTTTTTGTGTTGCCATGCTCTCTTTAAAATAATACTATAATATATAGTATTGTTTTATAGTGTTATTTTATAATAAATAGCATTTACTTATAGGTTTATTTTATAATAATTAGATAAATACAACAATGTTTTAGAGTTGAGGGCAAAACAGTAAGTATAGTCAACAGACAAACAAATACATTGTTGTTGTTCTCAGTTTCTTAATTCTCTTCCTAAAGTGGGAATTAGAATTTATCTTCTGGCTGAAGATTCCCACAATTTATAACTGAAATCGTTCAACGTCAACCATGAGCAATCCTTGGACTCTACTATAGGATGGCCCTTCTTGAGACACTTAGGTGTACTTCTGCTTAAATTTTGTGATTTAACATAAAATCAATCAGAGTGAAACCCAGTAGACTTGGTGATCTGAGAGGGATTTTGTTTCCAGTACTTGAGTTGATTTGTCTGTTTGTTGATTTACACAAAATTGCCTTAGATTTATTCCCACTGACAATGAATTTAAAGTATTTAGGAAAACTTTGCTAAAATTTCCTGAACACATTGGATCAGGGGACAGGAATAGGGGAGGTTAATTTCTTTACCCTGCTTTTCTCTTCCTCTTCTTCCTCCTCTTTCTTCTTTTTCTCTCATAATCAGAGTCACAGGGAGAAATGCTGGAAGAGAACACATTTAAGCCAATTTGGAAAAGTGTTTCTGCTCCTATATTCTTGGGATCTGTGAACGCAGAAAGCTGCTAATAACAGGATTTGTTGGAAAGAAGTAAAGAGCTATTTCTCATGATGAATTTGGGTTGAGTCATCAAGAGAAAGAATATCATTTTATTATGAACGACTACACCTGTATTAGGCTTTTTCACACTGCTATAAAGAATACCCGAGACTGGGTAATTTCTAAAGGAAAGAGGTTTAATTCACAGTTCTGCATGGCTGGGGAGACCTCAGGAAACTTACAATCATGGCAGAAGGTGACAGGGAATCAGGCACATCTTACATGGCAGAAGGAGAGAGAGAGAGCAGAGAGAGAGGAAACTGCCACTTATAAAACCACCAGATCTCATGAGAACTCACTCACTATAACAAGAACAGCATAGGGGAAACCTCCTCTTAGTGTGCATGCTGAAGCCACTTGCCCAGATCCTGAGATTTTATTGGGAAGCAGATGATCACCAGATTTAGGTGTTTCCTGTCTATGTGGAGACTGCCTTTCCCTGGTGCTGACTGCAGCTAATTATTATTTTAGAGAGACAGTTAACAACTGCCTGACCATCAACTGATGGTTGCTGGACATTCGTGGTATGCTGGGGGAAATGGGAGGCCTCTCCTACCCTGCCCTGCTCATGTCTCACTAGCTACCTACCATAACACACGGATTCCAGTTTCTGGCCTGTATCATTTTTCCTCTCCGTAAAGAGCTTCTTTCAACTTTTTTACAGGGCTGATCTGCTGGAGACGAGTTCCCTCATTTATGTTTGTCTAAGGAGGTCTTTATTTCTCCTTCACTTAAAAAAAAAAAAAAAAGACTATTTTTTAGAGCAGTTTTAGGTTTAACAGGAAAATTAACAGAGAATACAGTTTCCTCCCTCACTTCCATTCACACACAGTTTCCTTTATCAACATTTTGCATTAGTATGATACATTTGTTACAATTGATAAACCAATACTGATACATTATTAAGTCCCTAGTCTACATTAGAACTTACTCTTTGTATTGTGCATATTTTTGGATTTTGAGGAATGCCTAATGGCATGTATCCACCACAGTATCGTACAGAGTAGTTTCACTGCCCTAAAAAGCCTTTGTGCTTCCTTTATTCGTCCCTCTCCTATTCCCTTCCCCACCCCGTGGCCGCCCCTTGCAATTACTGCTCTTTTTACTGGCTCTATCATTTTGCCTTTTCCAGTATGTCATATAGTTGGTATTACATATAATGTAGCTTTTCAGACTGACTTATGTTACTTAGCAATGTGTATTTAAAATTCCTCCAATGTCTTTTCATGGTTTGAAACTCATTTCTTTTTTAGCACTGAATAATGTCCCCTTATGCAAGTGTACCACAGTTTGTTTATTCACTTGCTTATTTAAGGACATATTGGTTGCCTCCCATTTTTGCCAACTATGAATAAAGCTGCTGTAAACATTTATGCACGGGCTTTTGTGTGGACATAGCTTTCAACTCATTGGGCTAAATACCTAGAAGCATCGTCGCTGGATTGTATGGTAAGAAAGTGCCAAACTGTCTTCCAAAATGATTGTACCATTTTGTATTTCCACCAGCAATGAATGAGCGTTCCTATTGCTTCACAACTTCGCAGCATTTGGAATTGTCAGTGTTTTGGATTTTTGCCACTCTGTAAGTGGTACCCCATTGTTGTTTTAATTTGCAATTCCCTAAAGTGTATCTTTTCATATGCTTATTTGCCGTCTGTATATCCCCTTTGGTGAAATGTCTTTTAGGTCTTTTACCCACTTTTTAGTTGAGTTGTTTGTTTTCTTACAGTTGAGTTTTAGCAGTTCTTTGTATATTTTAGCTACAAGCCCTTTATGAGATGTATGTTTTACAAATATTTTCTCTCAGTCTGTGGCTTGTCTTGTCTTTTTTATTCTCTTAATTTCCTTCACTTTTGAAGAACAGTTTATAGAACTCTAGATTGGTGGATTTTTTTCTTTCAACACATTAAATATTTCACTCTACTCTCTTATTGCTTACATGGTTTCTGATGAGAAGTCCAGTGGAATTTTTATGCTGTTCCACTATGGGTAAGGTGTAAGGTGTTCTTATTTCTTTGGCTTCTTTCAGAATTTTCTGTTTGTCTTTGGTTTTCTGCCTTTTTTTTTTTTTTTTTTTTTTTTTTGAGATGGAGTTTCGCTGTTGTAGCCCAGGCTGGAGTGCAATGGCAGGATCTCGACTCACTGCAACCTCTGCCTCCCGGGTTCAAGCAATTCTTCTGCCTCAGCCTCCTGAGTAGCTGGGATTACAGGCACCTGCCACCACACCCAGCTAATTTTTTTGTATTTTTAGTAGAGATGGGGTTTCACTACATCGGCCAGGCTGCTCTCGAACTCCTGACCTAAGGTGATCCACCCGCCTTAGCCTCCCAAAGTACTAGGATTACAGGCATAAGCCACTGTGCCCAGCCCTGCAATTTAAATATAATATGTCAAGGTGTATACTTTTTTCTTTTCTTTTCTTTCTTTCTTTTTTTTTTTTTTTTTTGAGACAGGGTCTCACTCTCATCACCCAGGCTAGAATTCAGAGGTGTGATCACAGCTCACTGCAGCCTCGACCTCCCAGGCTCAGGTGATTCTCCTGCCTCAGCCTCCCCAGTAGTTGGAACTACAGTCACATACCACCACACCTGGTTAATTTTTTGTATTTTTTGTAGACACAGGGTTTCACCATGTTTCCCCTGCTGGCCTCAAACTCCTGGACTCAGGTGATCCTCCTGCCTCTGTCTCCCAAAGTGTTGGGACTACCTGCATAAGCAGTGTGCTCAGCCAGTGTATACTTTTCTTATATATACCCTACCTGGTATTCTCTAAGCTTCCTAAATCTATGTTAGATGAGACAGGAGGCTGGGGGATCAGGAGCTATGAATATTAATTGTAGTACAAAACTGTTTGTTTTGGATCTAATTTTGTATTATCTGAGGCTGTAAGCAGAGTTGGGACCACAGGTGTTGAAAGGATAAGCCTTTCAGAGGACTTAACTTGAAGAAAGATAGAGATACTAGGATTGCATCAAACAGAATTCTGGAGCAAGAGTATGGCTGGATGATCTGTGGTGCTGTAACTGGCTCATGTTTGAAAGGTGAAAAGGAAGGTCTCAGACTGGTAGACAAAAATGTAAGTGAGACAGAAGGTGAACAGAAGCCTTGGATTATTCAAAAGTTGGGATAGAAAGGATGAGCCAATTAAATATAAACTCTAGGTAGCCGAAAGCTGGCCAGTGAGCTAAGTGCATCAGGTGCTATGAGTGACCATGGGTGGAAACTGGAGTTTGTGTGTGTGACCAGTAGAAATCAGCCCATTAAAGCACATCAAGCTTGGGAATTACAGACTCACCATGGCCACTTTTCTGCCTTGGACATTTCATATGCAGAGTGAGAAGGTTATAACTGAGACTTTCACCAACAACAGGCCACACCAGACATTTACATGTGGTTGTTTAAAGTCTTTCATCATCCCAGATTAGCAACTAATATACCTAATTGACAACTTCAGTCCATCTGTAAGCCCCATTCCATGCCTACCTCTAACTTAATCTCATTATTTCCTTTTGATTAACCCAGATTTGGCGATATAATACCAGTCCAGTTTGCTCCAGGTCAAGAGCAGAAAAAAAGAAATCTCTCCAGTGATTCTATATTTTTTCAAATTTTTTTTTTATGATTAAACTATCTTGCTTCAATCTCATTGCTTCATAGTTATCTCTGATGTACAGGGCAACCTTGAGATTTCTTCACATTTTAGTTACATAGTCTTGATCTTTAAAAATGAACTGACTATATTATGATACAGAAGCAAAATAATGGAGGGAGAACAGAATGAAATAAATGGGAAGGCACAGTCGTCCCAAGGACATGATCTATAAGCGAATCAAGACAAAACAAAGCCAAGCAACACAGTTTCTTAGTCTGCTGTAACAACAAGTGTAAGCAGAGAAGTGCCCATGGTAACAACTTCCTCACAGCCTTGGGCATGAGCTTCACTGGAGATTTGTTTCATGATGTGGCCTTGGAGTAAGACGTTCATTCAAAAACATCTAAGTGCCTGCTATGTGCCAGACATCGTTTCTAGGCATTAGGAATATAGCAATGAAGAAAACTAAGTATTTCCTGTCCACACGGAGACCACATTTTGTGGCTGTGAGGAACCGCATCCATAACCAAAATAAGTAGTATATCAAATGACGATGAGTACTCTAGGAGACAAGGATGTGGTTGTGGTGTGAAATTGGCTGGGGAAGGCTTCTCTGATGCTTGAGCAAAGACCTGGAGAAGGTATGGGGGTGAGTCACCTGGCCGCAGGGAGGAGGAGCATTGCAAGCAGAAGGAACAGTTACTATAAAATCCCCAAGTCAGGAGCATTCCTGAAATGTTGAAGAAACAGAAAGCATGAATGCAGCTGCAAAGGTATGAGAAAGAGAAGAGTAGAAGGAGATGAAATCAGAGAAGTTACAGGGGCCAGGTCATGGAAGACCTTGGAAGTCATTGTAAAGACTTTGTCTCTTACCCTGAGTGAGATAGGGACTATTGGACAGTTTTGAGCAGAGAAGTGACATAAGTTTAAAGAATCCGTGCTATGGGTAGACTTTAGAAATACAAGGGAAGAAGCAGGGAGACAGCTATCGCAATCATCCAGGAAGGAATCATGGTGGTCTGGCCAGGGTAGAAGCAGTAGAGGTAATAAGAGGGGACACATTCCAGATATATTTCAAAGGAAGTACCAACAAAATTTCCTGATAGATGGGATGTGGTGTGTAAGAGAAAAAGAGGAATAAAAGATGACTCTAAGTGTTTTAGCTTGAACATCTGGAAACAAGAGTTGCCATTTCTTGAGGTGGATCACAAGCAGGTTTGAAGGAAGGATGAGGAGCTTGGTTTGGCCTCCAATGTTAGGAGATTGAGAAGATAAAGAAGAACGAGCAAAGGAAAACAAGAAGAACAGCCAGTGACATAGGAGAAAAACGAAGTGAGTGTGATGACCCAGAGGTCAAGTAAAGAAAGGGCTTTAGAGGGAACAGATTGATCAAGTAAAGCAACTGTTTAGAGAATGCAACCAAGATGAGGCCTGAGACTGACCTCCAGATTTAGCAATGGAGGACACTGGTGACCCTGACAATCCCAGTGCTCTTGATCACTCAGTATAATACTTTAAGCAAGAAAAGAAAAATAAGTTCCCTAGAATTCCATTTTGAGAAATTAGGAAATAGAGTCATTCTCAAAAGGTTGCTGTCTGTTAGGTAAGTCCTCTCAACAGTCATGGTGTGACGTTGGCCCCATCTCACCTCCTGGCTGAACCACTGCTCATGAATTATAGTTCCAGTTTGTGAGTGAGTTCAGGGAAAGAGTCCATGATGTAACCTTCATCGTGTAACCTTGAACCAGTGCCCAAAATGACTTAGATTTCTCACTATGAAAATAAATATAACGGTCACCACTAAACTAAAACATCAAAACTTGATAAATGCTGGCCCGAGAGAACAATGCTGGCACTGGATTTGCTGAAAAGGAAAGCCACATTCCACAACTACCTTTAAGTCTGTGGAAATGGAAACTTTTTTAATACAGAGAGAAAAACTGCCGACCCACATGCAAAGGGTGGATTAGGTGGTTTCCACATAGTTAGTGAGGTTCTGTTACCTTAGCGAAGTTCTGGTAAGAATGGGCATTCCTCACCAGCATAATCATTTGCCACTCTTTGGAATTCAGGAAGTGTTTCACAGCGAATGGATAAATGAAATGAGTCAGTGAACAGGATTCATTAGTTGCCTTTTCATAGCCTTCCCTGACTAATCTAACCACATACTAATCATTGCTTCTTGTTTCTCTGACCCTACCAATTCAACTCTAAGTTCCTTGAGCACTATATCATGAGATTTGTTTCTTTGTGTTCTTTACCACACTTAGTTTAGTATTATAGTGGTTACTTAATATATACTTCTTGACTGAGCAAAAAATTTAAGAAAGAAATTGAACTGTTAAGCTAAGGATATAAATTTAATTTAAATCTTCAAGACAAACAGATAAGAGAAACAGTGCAAATAAGCCTTACAATGCTCAGATTATAATGGTTTGCAGGATTAAACCAACTGGAGCCAACATTCCTCTGATGTTTTGGTATCCAATGGTCTTATCAGTAGGTTTCCAACCATTAATCGTGAGCCATTATTTACTGTTGCCAGTCACTGACTTCTGGTGTCCCTAGTGATACAACCTTAACCTTCCAAGGGCCCTGTGTCACTTTTGTGTGATGTTTTCGTCACACAAAGGGAAGATAGCTGTTTTCTTGGTTGCACTACTTTGTGGTGTCCCAGTGAGATGATGGGACTATGTAGCTCTCTATACATGAACTAACTCCATATGCAGTCCCACGGGGGATCTTTGCTTGCTTTCTCTCTTCCTTTTTCTTCCAACAAAAAACGGTAAGTTTTTGTCATTGCTTACATCAGTAACAAAAAACAAATACACGAACTTTGAAAGGATTGAGGACAGTCAACCCTAGTCAAAGATTGTCTAGCTCATGTTATTTATTCATATTTATGATACGAGTTTATTATATCCACGCTCTTCAATAATGGCATTGATAATAGGAAGGTTGATTTGGAAAAGCAAAATGTTAAACACTAACCTGAGAAATAATCTGTGATCTTTTCTTCTCTCCGAATTAGTAAAACAAACACTGTGAGCTTTAAAATAATAGAGGTTCTTGGAAATAGTGGGCTGCTCTTTTCTGTTTTCCCCACTGCCATGCTATGGCTAACATGATACTTGAGGTTGTAGCAGAACTTCCAAAGTAAACTTGATCTTTAGAGTTTTACAACAATGATGGGTGAACCTCAGAAAGTTCAGAGATTTTTGTCCAAATGGAGAAATAACATTCTTGTGCCAATTTTCTGTATCTCTGAATTATTGAGTTGAAGTTTTCACAACAATGGCAATTTCTTGACCATTTCATGCTGGTGACAGGAAATTACACAAATAGAGTAAGTTTTCTCAACACTCATTCATCAGTTAGCAACAGTTCATTGTAGTTTCTACTGTTTAGCCTGAGTCTAGATGCAAATGTTGAAAATGAGGGATATGGTGTTCAAGTTTGCAAAGTGAGGTATGGAAGCCCACTCTTTATAGATCTGCCTTGTACCTTGACACAACTTTTTGGCCCCCGTCTTTGGGGGAAGCCATCCTCTAGACGCACTCCTAGATTGTCAGCTATGCCACCAATGGGAAGGGCAGATTCTCCCAAACAGGGCTTAGCAACAAATGAAGGACAATTTTCTATTCTTATCCTTTACAATTCTAGAAAAAGCAAAAAGCAAGACAAAACAAAAGATGTCACCCAAGGATGTTTTCAGTACAACGGAATCAAACTCTAAAATAAAATGTAAAAAGCCAAGCATAAAGTTGGACAGTGATGGTCTTCTAGATATTCAGTTACACTATCAATCCCTCAGAGCAATGATCACAACTTATGTTGTTGGACAATTTATCATTCACGGCACACTGGCCCATTTACACCAAAGGAGGCAAGATCAGGCATTGCACACCCACCACACAACCACCCAAGTAGCAATCTGCAGAGCCAGGCCTTGAATCATGATTTCAGCTTCTAAATCTATATCGTTACACTGCCTCTGGGGTGAAATCTTCAGTTGTATAGATAATTTTTTTATTTTTCAAAATAGTTTTCAAGATATTGTTGAATTGTAAAAGCATCACTTGTGCCTATGTTCAAATCCTGGCATAGCCACTTGTATTAGTGAGCAAGTAGTGTGATCTCTTTAAACATCAGTGCCCTCCACTATAAAGAGAAAGTCATAGTACTAGCCTCTTAAGGTTGTTGTAAGAATTAAGTAGAATAATTCACGCAAAGCATGGAACCTAATAAGAGCTCAACAGAATGTGGCTTTAATTGTTGATAATAAAAATGATCTATGTTCGTTGTAGGAAATGTATCTGAGTATTAAGAAGAAAATATCTCTCATAAATCCACCATCCTAATACAATCCCCGAACCATTACGGCACATTTTCAATTTTTCTAAGTAATGCTACATAATGTATTTCTTTGTTATGAAGATTTTCAAACACACAAAAGTTAAAAGGCAAGTACAATGACTATCCATGTATTTTCCTCCTAGAGTCAACAATTATATATACTTTGCTGTATTTGCTCTGTGTGTGTGTATGTGTTTAGATTTTGCTGTTTCATGTCCTTATACATTACCTGTGTTAGATCTTCCTCGGTACTACTTCCAAGTAGAAAATCCAGGGAGTCCGTAAGTATACATACACATATACATATGTGTTTTTTGCTGAAATATTTGAAAGTAAACTGTAATTATCATAGCATTTCACTTCTAAATATTTCAATATGCATCTCCTAAAAATAAGAATGTCCTCCCACATAATCATAATATCATTATCACAGCAGGATATTCATGATTATTCCCTAATGTCATTTAATATCCAGTTGATATTCAAATTTTTAAAATTGTCCCCCATTGACTTTTTGCTGTTTATTTTCAAACTAATTCATGCATTGTCTTTTGTTATGCCTCTTTTATTCAAGAACAGTCTTCTCACCAGTTTTACATTACTCTAAGTATATTTTTAATGATGTATACACTCCAGTGCAGGCACAGTCGTGGCCAGTCCCTCAGCTTAGACATACAAATGCTTTCCTTTTTCCCTGTGATGAACCATGCTAAGATGAATACCTTAGTGCATTGACTTCTTTCACCTTTTTTGGTTACCTCTGAACATTCACATTTTTTAAAAAAAGATAAGAAAATATTTAAAACCCTTCTTAGATATTAGCAGACGACTTTGCAGAAGGGTTTTATCCACTGCTATCCCCCCAAAGTATTTCAGCATGCCAGGATAGCTGGGGCTTTCAACGCCTCCTTGTCCTGAGGAGTCCTGGTTTAAATGCCACATTCTCTAGAGGACATTTTCTGGTCTACGCTGGGTGAGTTCCCTTGCCATGCGTTGTTTCTTGTGATTACTTAATCATCAGCTCCTCCCCTCTAAGAACAAGGAATCTTTACTTGAAGAGGCCAGTTTTTCTCTGAAATTGGGAGCTCAGTGAAACTGGCTGATTGCTTTTAGTGTTACGCCAATTTTCAAAAAAAATTTAACATAAAACTTCTGGCTCTTTTATTTTTCACCAAAACAATATGTTGTGATTAAATATTGCCCTATGTACATTAAATATTGTCATAACTTTAAAATTGATGAAACTCTATCCCTAAGGGAATCTTTGGAAACTTTTAAAATAAAATAACCCAAGTAACCAATAATATGTGAGTGGTTAAGTAAGTGTTGCAAATCTATATGATAGTACAGTCTGTACACATTAAAATTTATATTCATAAAGGGTTTATCATAACATGAAGAAGTGCTTATTAAACGATATGGGGAAAATAATTGTTAGAAATTTAGAATGCTAAATATGCCACAAAAAGGCTAACAAGATACAGCAACTGTTGTACTATGGGTGATCAAAATAGCTTTTCTCACGTATTTTTCTTTCTGACCAAAGCACAGTAAGAAAGATGGAGCTTTGAAAAACATTATTTAAGCATCCATAGCCCCTGTTTACAAGCTGTAAAAGAGAAAAAAATGTTTACCCATGGTAATTTCTTATTTTTCAATCTGATTTTGTAGCATGAATTTAATGTTAATGCTACTTTAATATATAATAAATCTGGCAAAAATCAACCAGCTAGCCAGAAAACAAACAAACAAAATAAATATTTAATAATCTTCCATTTCCTTCTGAAGATTTTCAGGTATATTCTATCACAAGAGCATTTACAATTATTCCATTTTTAAAATGTGCATGCCCCTTGACAAAATTTATCAATACCTCTATTTGATCTGATGATACACATCAGTTGCCAAGTACATAACAAACAGCAAGCTATTTCACTGTCTTCATCTTGAGCTGTAATTAAAGAGTATTTACTGAGCATTACTTGAACCCAACATTATACTTGGCATTATAGCAGCTGGCAATATGGACCTGGGGCCCGAGCTACAGAACCTTACAGCTGATGACCTGTGATCAACATACTCATCTTTCCTCTAACCACATGACAAACCTCCTGGACCCAGAGCCAAAGGAATTTACAGTTTTCCAGGGAAACATGATATTTGCTTTGACAGTTTCACATAGCTTTATCCCAAAGGCAGACAAAGAGCTGAAGTTTCATCTTCACTCGCCTTTCCTGGGATCAAGCCCTTTGATGGAAGGAGATCACTGGGAATCCATCCCTAGGCCTGGAGGTGTCAGAGGCAAAAACCAGACATACGTATCCTGCTCTTTGGTCCTCTGGGAAAATACCTAGCCATCGCTGCCCTCATCCACCAGCCTCATGTTGCCCGCCTGTCTCCAGTGTTAGCGTAAGTGCTGACCCCCAGCACTGTGTGTGTCTGGGAGGGCAAGAGGAGTGGCAAAGAGCCAGCTGGTGACGCCTGCCCAGAGCCCTGGCAGACCTCATTAGGCTCGGACTGGTCTCTGAAATGCTCCACCACTGCTCCTGCCTGGCACCCAAACCCCTACCATTTTAAAGTGAGCTTTTCACATTCCATTCTTCCCCCAGGTCCTGCAAGGTAGGGCCTGCTTTTCTCACAGCTCCAACATCAACACTTCTTTTAAGCAAAACTTTTGCATGCAATAGATAGTGCTAGTGCCAATGCATCTTAGCCAGCTTCTACAGTCAAAGTGAAACAAAGCAAGGAAACACTACAAAAATCGGTGTTGTGGAATGGAACTAGACAAAATCAGTAATAGCCAGTGTGCCCCTTTGATGACCTAAATGCTTAGGATCTCAAAGGATTTCTAAAGGTGTCATGCACAGAGTTTTGAGAGGGAGCTGGCATTTTCTAACCGAGAGCCCAAAGCTGAGGGATCCTCTGAAACAGATGCAGTCAACTATGCAGACAGGTTGCCATGTGGCAAAGTGGGAAGAAGTATCTGGCTGTGCATACCAAATACCATCTCAGAGTGGGGTTGTGACTTGAAGGATAGATATGAATATGATGCACCCAGCATGGCCATGTGTGGGAGCTCCTCCAGCAGGAAACATGTGATGTGGTAGATGAACTGGAAGAGATTCAGAGAGGCCAGAAATTGGGGGCAGGAGGGGAATGGGTGAGGAGGTAAAGGCTGTTTTTTAAAAGACAAGAAGAAAGGGTTAAGCAAGGAAACTTCATAAGGACCTCATAGGCCCTGTGGAAGAGTCAAAAGTCATTTAAGTGTTAAGCAGGCTTGTTGCATAATTGGAGTCATGCTTTAGAAAAGTTACTCTTGCTGAAGCATGAAGAATGAATTGAAGGGGGGCAAAGCAGAGGCAGAAAGACCAGTTACAACATCTAAGTGAAGGATAACAGTGGACAACGAGACACATCAATGGATTTGAGAGGTGTTTAGGAGTAGAATTGATAAGACTTAGCGATTCACTAAGGGGTTGTGGTGAGGGGAACAGTGAAGGAGGAAGAACAACCTTGAATGACTGCCAGAGTCTGGCTGAGGCTTTCAAGCGAATGGCAACACCAACCAATGAGGGAACAGGAGAGGCACATTAGGGATGATACTCATCAATTCAGGTTTTGGTGGATGGAGTTAAAAATATCTTTGCAAGATGTTTACTATGTAGCTGGATAGATACCACTGAAGATCTGTTCTATTTATAAAATTTGGAGTGGCCAGCACAGATAGTAATGAAACTGAAGGCATGTTGTGGGTGAAAGGGGTGTCCAATAAATAGGGACAGAAGGACACTTGAGTGTTTGAATACTCTGTTCATTTTTGGCAGCTTATTGCACATTCATTTAACAATCCCTCCTAAGAGTAAGTTCTGGAGGATGGAAGTATGAAACGCTGAGTTTAAGGATGGGGGCGTGAAAATCACTAAAGTGGAGAAATAATTCTCAGAGTTACCTTCATTACTGAGTACTTACTATGTGCCAGGCCCTGTGCCAAGTACTTAATATACATTGTTCTACTGTATTTCACTTAATTCTTACAACAAGCCTACATAAATTAGAAACTATTTATTGTCTCCACTTCATGTTAACAAGAGCTGAAATTTGGAGATTCTATAACTCTCTATCCCTGTTGTTTAATCTGGTAGCCACTAGCTGCAGGGGAATTTAAAATGTTAGGAATTTAAAATGTGCAACAAAGAAATTTAATTTTTTATTTAATTTAACTCAGAATTCTCATTTAATTCAAATTTTATTTTATTCCATATTAGTGTAAATTCACACTTAAGAACTAACACTGGATGCAGTTATTGAAAAGTGCTTAAATATATTTGGAACAATGTGAGTATGTGAATCAATTTTTCAACTCTAAGTTTTATGAAATGTAACTACAGATCAAGTATTTCCAATGAAAAATTCGTGTCTGAATTGAGATGTGCTGTGAGTGTAATTTCGAAGATTTACTGTGAAAAAAAATATGAAATATCTCATTTATAATTTTTGTATTGATTGCATATTGAAATAATGTTTTGAATATATCAGGTTAAAAATATATTGTTAAAATTAATTTCACCTGTTTTACCTTTTCACTTTTTTTATGCGACTACTGGACACTTTTCAATTCCCTAAGGGGCTGGCACAAGAGTTCCCCGGGGCTGACGGGGAGCACGGCCCGGGCAGCCCTTTCCCCAGCCCGTCCCAGTGGAGACGGGCTCACACCGAGGTGCGTGCACGTGCGCGTCTGCGCGCTCCGCCGCGGGTGGACCGAATCTCACCCCGTGCCCACGACCAGCGGGCTTTCCTGTTTGCCTTTTTGAACTCTGTTTTCTCTGAGTCTTGGAGAGAGCCAGGGGCTGTGATGTCACTGTATAAACAGAGGGAAGGGTGGGGGCGAAAGTTGCATTGGAGCGAACCCGGTGGTGGAGGAGGGCTGGTGGGAGGATGGGGGTGGCGAGGGAGATATTTTTAAAGGTGGTTTGGTCTCGGGGGGTGTAGGGGCAGCGGGGGACTCTGCAGAGTCCCAGTAAAGAAACAGAATGGGACTGCCAGTCCCTAAGCCGGGGGCGGGGAGGGGGACGTGGCTGGAAGAGACGGGGGTTGGTGGGGGGAGGCTGGAAAAATATGGGACGCCTAGAGCTAATTCCCCTGATTAAAAATGCATTAGTTTGGAGGTGTCAGGGACACGCAGCTGTTTTCAAGGAAAGCCTGGCTCCAAGAGGTCCTCCCGGGCCGGGCCGCCTGGCGGCTCCATCCCGGGTGGGTGTCAGCGAGCGCGCAGCCCCCGACGCTTGTCCTCTCCCTGACAGGGCCCTGGCCAATGTCCTGCTGCTGCGGGTCGTGGTAATTTACATCCTCTCTGTGTACATTAACTTATCTGCAGCCGCGCTGGCTGCGCTCCTTCAGTCAGCCTGTCTCCTGCGCAGCCTGGGAGCTTTCCCCGACCCAGCGACCCACCGGGCGGCCGGGGGCGACGGGGGAGCCCTGGGAATCACAACAACCGCCCGGTTCCGACCCGGCCCGGACGCCCGGGGGGCGGGGGGCTCCGCGGGGCCAGGCGTGGAGGGCCGGCGAGCCCGGCTCGGGTAGGGCAGAGGCGGGCGGCTGGGGGCTGGCGGCGAACACTTAGTGGCTAATTCATGACTCATGACTCATGCGCAGGCTCCTCTTCAGTGACAGCCGGGACAGTTCCTGGTTATTTGTAGCCCCCCGGCTTTCATTTCGCTGTAATTAAGCAGTCATTTGAGGGTCATTTCATCCCCGTTATAGGTTTCTCTGTTTTAATCATGCTTTGAGTTCCAGGGTGGGGGGAGCAGGGAGTGGAAGGGGAGGTTGGGAAGGAGGCGTGGAGGGCAAGAGGGT